CGAGAGGTGAGATCTGTGTGTCTCGGTATTGAGCATTACTGATCCTTTTATATAGGTAATTGAATTACCTCTTATGAACCCTGAACTATTTCTGCGAGTGGGAATTGCACCTCCTAAAGGTGTCTTGCTTTATGGCCCACCCGGAACTGGAAAGACCCTACTAGCTCGTGCAGTAGCATCAACCCTGCAAACAAATTTCCTAAAGGTCGTGTCGTCTGCAATTGTCGATAAATATATCGGAGAGTCCGCTCGTCTAATCCGTGAAATGTTTGGCTATGCCAAGGAGCATGAACCCTGTATCATCTTCATGGATGAGATAGATGCCATTGGAGGGAGACGGTTCAGTGAGGGTACCAGTGCTGACAGAGAAATCCAGAGAACATTGATGGAGGTGAGAGATGTCCGCGACTCGTATCAGTGCAGACGCTTACGATGGACCACAGCTTCTGAATCAGATGGATGGGTTCGATTCATTGGGACGAGTTAAACTTATCATGGCTACTAATAGACCCGATACACTGGATCCAGCATTGCTGCGCCCAGGTAGACTGGATCGGAAAATTGAGATCCCTCTGCCCAACGAACAAGGCCGGTGAGCGCCAAGTTGTCTCAGTCCTCATTCAAATCAACCTGACAGTTTATCCTTTTCCTAATGCAATGACGTCGTGGACAAATATATCCTCATCAGGATGGAGATTCTGAAAATCCATGCCCGCTCGGTTAACAAATCGGGAGACATAGACTACGAGGCAATTGTCAAGTTATCAGATGGATTCAATGGAGCCGACTTGCGCAATGTCGTCACTGAAGCTGGCATGTTTGCGATTCGAGCAGAGCGTGATGCTGTGATTCAAGAAGATTTTACCAAGGCGGCAAGGAAGGTTGCGGAGGCGAAGAAGCACGAAAGTGAGTATTTATGGAAATTTGTCCGCCAAATCACCCGCTGACAAGCTCGGCAGCCAAGATGGATTATTCGGCTCAGTAGACGGTGTCGGTAGCCAGTGTGCGCTAGCAGTAGCCTTGTACACTCGTCAATACACGGCGATATGTATAGTATTTGAACATGATTTTCGGGATTTCATTATGTCAGGGCACCTAAGAGTTGTATGGCTTCATTTACTCCTACAGCTCAGAATTCTCGGCAAACATCCAGCAAATATCGGCGGGTCCTTGGCGTTTAGTTCCACATGCTCACACGATATCTTTCCAGAACCACGACAAGTTGGGAAACCAATTCACCCAAGCATATTAGTGCGACACCATCTTGTCCAGCGCGCATGACGACACGGACAGTTGTTGGATAGCAGCCGGATGTTGTGGAAAAAGGACGCGTTTTACGGGTAAACGCCAATTAGCTCCGCCCCACACATCAAAAATAGCATAATGTCCACGACTGGGCCAAGAAGGGATGTGTCACATCTACGTTCATTTTGCCGCGATGAAACTTGAAAACAGTAAGCACGTTCAGAACCATATGAGGGACGCTAGTACACTTGCATACATTCCTTTAGTACTCCCTGCCGAAGATAATCAGTTGACCAGTAGTAACGATCCCGCCCTGAATGCTTCCCAGCCTCACATATATCTATTACCCCGCCGAAGGCGCCGTCTCATTCATTCGATTCGCTGAAAGAGGAAAAAACGCGGATTTGTCGAGAAGGATTATTCTCGAGTTTCTCCTCACCCGCACCTACATCCCAATCGTGTAACCTGGCGAACAGTCTACCCAATTCAATCCGTGGCTTCTCCACCACCACTTCTGGTTTCCTTTGGTGACCTTGCGAGCGACATGTCTCCGAGTTATGCCATGAGATTATAGGACTCGCGTTGTCTTATGACTCTCAGGTCCATCCGATGTCCAGCCATGGGATTGATTCTCCAATACTCTCACTGGTTTCCACCCCGCGACTATTAAAGGCAGAGAAGGGGATCTCCTACTTGCAAGACTCCTCTTCCCTCCTTCCTCCGCACTAAACCATGAAGCAGTTCACATCTCTTCTGGCAGCAGCCGTCCTGGCTACTAGCGTCGCGGGCCATGGTGCCGTCACAAGCTACGTGATCGCTGGTACAACCTACCCAGGCTATACTGGATTCAGTCCATCTTCAAGCCCCCCAACCATCCAATGGCAGTGGCCTGACTACAACCCAACTCTTGACCCAGCCATGAGCTCCGTCATGTGCAATGGTGGATCTTCAGCTGCCCTCACTGCTACCGTCGCTCCTGGTGGCCAAGTCACCGCTAAATACGCCCAATGGACACACGCTGAAGGTTCAATCTCAGTCTACCTCTACAAGTGTTCAGGTGCTTTCAGCTCGTGCACAGGAAGCGGTGCTGGATGGGTTAGTACTCTCAAGGTCATGAGATACACGCAAGCTTTCTAACACACATCCTCTAATAGTTCAAGATTGACGAGGCCGGTTTGTTGTCTGGTACCATGTACTCTGGTACATGGGGAGCGGGTAAGGTTTTGAATACCCTTCAATGGACCTCGACCATCCCTGCCAACCTTGCCCCTGGTAATTACTTGCTCCGAGTCAGTATCATGCATCGGTATATCATGTTCTATGCTGATCGTTGACTATAGCACGAACTCATCGCTGTCCACCAAGCCAAGACCCCTCAATTCTATGCCGAATGTGCCCGTACGTCAGGTTCATGTTGTATGATTGTACATGATAGCTAAATTTTATCCAGAAATCGTCGTTTCTGGCTCCGGGACTGCATCCCCAAGCGGCAGCTACCTCGTCTCGATCCCCGGCTACTGCAAGTTGTCGGATTCTAACGTCTCCTTGGATATCTACTCCGAAGCCGCCAAGACTGTGACCAGCTGGGACGTTCCCGGACCACCGGTCTGGCCCAACGGCAGCACCTCTACTTATACTCCCCCAGTTAGCAGCAGCACCTCGACACGACCTTCTTCCTCTTCGTCTTCGTCGTCTACCAGACCATCGTCATCTTCGTCCTCATCTAGCTCGAGCGGTGGAGCACCCCTCTATGGCCAATGCGGTGGCCAAGGATGGACCGGACCCACAACGTGCGCCTCGGGTACTTGCAAATACTCGAATGGTATGTTCTATTTTACCATACTCTACTAGATCTGAGCTAACTCGTGTGATTCCTTTATAGCCTTCTACAGCCAGTGCTTGCCTTGAGCAACTTTTGGGACAGATCTTTTCCTCTGTATTGCAATTATATCCTTCAGCTGTAGAACCACAATTGCTGTCCAAAAATTTACATGGTTCATCTGAAACACCGGATTTGAACCGTCTAAGATGAATGGTTTTTGAGGAATTCGAAAGTTGTTTGGCCAACAAATAAGACCCCTCGAACCCCGATAAAACTCCGCCTGAACCACGTGTGCTTCTTTCCTCGTTGGGACTATCGAAAGTTGGACCGTGCCATCAATTCTGGTTTTCCCTCTCGCGCAAAATTTGACAAAAATGGATAAATATTTTACAGGACCTGTTCGTCGTATAATCAGCCGTGGTCTCAGCTTCCCCCCATTCAACCGCTTTCCAAGCTGGAGCTCCATTAATGGCGAGGATCAGAGCCCCTTGCCATCTGCTGGCAAACGACAGCGCGAAGAAGACGAGGACGAAGAGACGGGACCCTTGAAACGCGTCAAGATGGACATTGATGATGACCTAAAACCTGTGGCCGTCGAATCAAGCGAATCCCCAAGCGTTGAACGCATTCGTCCTGGCGTAGAGGCTCTATCCATTTCCGCCAAAGATGAACTGACGACACCACCACCCTCAAATGGTCACGCTGGAAAATCTGCCCAGTCCACTCCAACTTCGAAGAGAGGCAAATATCAGCGAGGACTGAAGGGTACAAGAAAGTCCACCGCTGCAGACAGCACACCGAGCACACCTTCCAAAACACGCTTGGGTCCAAAACGTCAGTGTGCTCTACTCATTGGGTTCTGCGGTGCCGGCTACAGTGGCATGCAAATGTACGTTCCACCCCAATTAAAACGTCGCATCCACCTCTATTGTGACCGCTAACCCAATACACTCAGACAAAAAGGTTCTAAAACTATTGAAAATCGACTATTTGATGCTTTGGTTAAAGTTGGCGCTGTTTCAGAGGATAACTCTGATGACCCAGTTAGGCATCCCTATATAATACAATGGGTTTAGTGCTAACGTCTCACAGACCAAGGTTAACATACAACGCGCAGCACGAACCGATGCTGGTGTCCATGCCGCGCGCAATCTGGTGTCCATTAAGATCATTATGGAACTACCTGGCGTCACGGATCTAGTCGAACACATCAACGAACAATTACCCCCAGAAATCCGAATCTGGGACATTGTACGAACTCAAAACTCTTTTAATTCACGAATGTGAGAGTCCCTCATCTGTGTGTGTTGAACATCTCTCAATACCTTCGTTCTCTACAGGGCATGCGATAGCCGAAAATATAGCTACTGCTTCCCTACGTATATGCTTATTCCCCCTTCCCCTGATTCCCCAGCAGGCAAGGCGATTCGTGACAATTCTGATTCATCATACGATTCATCGCAGCACCCCTTCTGGCAAGATGTTGCCAATCAGAAAATTAAGACCAAAGAAACCTTGCATCGACTTCGCACGCAATGGAGAGTCGACGAGGAAACCGTAAATAGGTTCAAAGCGATAGTGGCGATGTATGTTGGGACCCACAACTTTTGGAACTTCACTGTAGGAAGGGAGTTTAAAGAAGCAGCCTCCCAAAGAAACATGAAATCCATCGAGGTGACTATAGTTCTATTCGTGGAATATGACAAGTTCTCATGCATATGAACAGGTCGTGCCCCCTGCTGTCTACGGAGATGTAGAATGGTTAAGCGTTGCGATTCATGGGCAAAGCTTCATGTTACACCAGGTAAGCTCGCATACCATAACCAGTGACGACTTATTGATCTCTCTGTAGATTGTGAGAAACATAATATGTCTGATCATTCAACAACGACTAACCAGTTTTAGCGCAAAATGATTGCATTGGCGATTCTACTCACCCGTTCACAAGGTCAACCGGACATCGTCTCAAACTTGTACGAACCGGATCGTATTCGTGTCCCTAATGCGCCAGCAGCTGGCCTCTTTTTGGAGGAACCCGTGTTCGAAACTTACAACAAGAAGATTGCCGTGGCTAATGGCAAATGGAAAGACGCTGCTAGTTCCGGCAAAAAAGAACATGAAGATGACTCCGAGCATGCTCAAAACTTCATCCGGGAGCCCTTGGACTACGATAAACATAAAGAGAAGATCGAGGCCTTCAAGAACAAGCACATTTATGAGGTAATGCAGACGACGGAAAAAGAGCAGGGAACGTAAGTAAAAGTTGTTTTCCCTCGTGATAATATGCTTAGTATTTTCCAGGTTTGACGCTTGGTTGAACTCGCTTGATAGTCACGAAGCTCGTCTGTTCTATGAAGCCCGTGGCTTGCCAGTTCCGGAGGGGTTGGGTGTTCCTACCAAAGCAGGAAGCCTTAGGTCAGCAGCCTCGAAGATTGATGACGGCGACGAAAGCGACGATGCCCTGACCAAGGGGAAGGTCAACTTTAAGAGCGCAGAGCTCGAAGGTTGAATGTCCCTTGGCTCAGGTAATCTATGATTTCCAAAATCTAAATGAGAATTATCTACAATTTAATCATCGTGGTGGTATTTACATAGATACGAGACAGCCACGATAACAATCTCTTGAAAATCCGGATTTGTAATGTGACAAAGTATGTTGTATATCACTCAAACAAAATACTTTACTACACTCTATAACTGTCAGAAGGCGTGTCCTACATATGAACCGTATTAGTTGAGCAATCTGATAGCGGTTTAAAGAATGATATGAGGGGGGGAAAGAGGGGATACTGCGGACAAGCCGAACTGTGAAGATCGACTTTAGAAGACTCCCTCCATCCATTCTGGTATGTCCTTTGGATCACAAAGGCAGAGACTTCACTTGTTTCAATAGATCCAGAGTTGTAGTCAAACCGATTAGATTAGTACCGTACCATACATTCGTAAGTTATCGCTACAATACAGAACTTTTAAGAATAATCCAGACCTCTTATAATACAGAAAGATCAATTAAAAGTTTTTGAGCTCGTTCTCGCACCAATCCCACATCTCTACAGCGAGT